GCAGTAAAGTTGAATGTGCGAGCAAGACTAATGTGCGAAGAGAAAATAGCTGAGAACAGTGTGCAGAGTTGAGAGGCCTGTGGGTCAGGTCAGGTGTTCTAATGGGATTTTGTCTCAGAGGAAAGGGACCAGACAAAAATACAGGGAGTAGTAGCTGAAGAATTTCCAGATTAGGTGAAAACTGCATATAGGGTCAAGAAGTGAAATTCCAAACAGGATGATACTTGACTTGTGGCAGGCAAGTGTTTATGTGGCACAGAAAAAAAAAAAAATAAGGCTTTTTAAAAAAGTCAATAAATTGGACATTGGCACAATTGAACAGGTCTTTTCAGAGTCACCGTAGAGAGAAGAGATCAGTGGTTGGCAGGATGGCTTAGTGGGTAGAGGTGGCTGCCACCAAGCCGGACAGCCCGAGCAATCTCCAGCATCATCCACATGTGGAGATCACTGAACCCACAGGGCCTGGGACCTCCACATGCACATGTGTGCACACACCCACACAAAATAAACATTTAAATAAAAGAACAAAGTACGTGGCTTGTGTGTGTAATCTTAGTCCTTGAAAAGGAGGGCAGTTCAAGGCCAGCCTGGGCCACATGAAACCTCATGTCCACACCATGTCCCTCATGGAAACAAAAAGTCCTAGACTTCAGAAAATCAATGTGTGTATGTGTGTGAGTGACACATACACATAACACATGACCTACTGAGGAAGGGTGACTATTTGTCAGAGAGAAAGAAACCAGCAGAGACAGGACTGTTTTTATTGTAGAATCTAGATTTAACTTGCATGCATTCATGTATGTATGATCTGAGCCCAAGGAGGGACGTTGAGTGGAGGAAGGAGACCAGGGATTCAGGGAGAGAGAGGAGAGTGGATGGCGGTGGAGGAGGATGGAGTATGAGCAGGGTACAACCTTACCTATGAAAACGTCATAACGACTTTCATTATTAGTTTGAAGAAGACAGCCAGGTATGGGGGAACACACTTATAATCCCAGCACTTGGGAGGCAGAAGCCAGTAGATCTCTGTGAGTTCAAGGCCAGCCTGATCTACAAAGAAAGAGTTCCAGGTCAACCAGAGCTACATAGAAAGACCTTGTCTCAAAACAACCAAACAAAACTACAACCAACCAACCAAAAAAAGACAAGCCATATGGGTATAATACATATGTGCTATTGCTTGGATTATTTGTTTGTTTGTTGGTTGGTTGTTTTTTCAAGATGGGTTTCTCTGTGTAGCCTTGTCTGTCCTAGCAGACCAGGCTGGTCTTGTATTCATCCACTTGTCTCAGCCTCCTGAGTGCTGGGATTAAAGGTCTATGTCACCGCTCCCCAACTGGATGATTTATTTTTGTGGTACTAGGGGTCAGGCCTATGGCCTCATGACCTAGGGGTAGGCAAGAGCTCTGCCGTTGAGCTGCATCCCCAGCCCAGTAATTTGGAATTGAATTCCTACCACTCCACTAATGGGAAGTCTTTAAGTTGTTGGTGGTCTGCCGTGGAGACCTGTGGGACTCCTGTCCATCCTCTTTCTCTGCTGTGCTCATTTACTGTGATGTGCTATCTTGCCACCTGATGGATGCCATCAATTGATCCTTTATGTCAGGTTGTAGTGGTACAGAGCTAAAAGCTGATTGTGTATCAGATTTTATCAATATACCAAACTCTGGAATTCGGTAATAAGTCAGTTTTTTGTTTTTTGTTTTTTTTTTTTTTTTTCAAATGGGTACACAGGAACTGGGGAGATAGTAAAATGTTAAAATGTTTGCTGTGGGGGGATACAAAGTGAATAAACTGTAATTAATTAAAAAAAATCAGTAAAAAAAAATGTTTGCTGTGCAAGCATGAGGACCTAACTTCAATCCCTAGTACTTATTTAGGGGGGAAAAAAGAAGCCAAATGTATTTGTTGGTGCTTGTAATCCCAGTGTTTGCAAAGCTGAAACAGGTACATCGAGCCAGCCTAACCTACATGGTCAGCTCTAGGCTAGGGAGAGACCCTGTCTCAAAAAAGGGTGGTTGATGTCAGTTGAGGAACAGCACCTGGGGCTGCCCTCTGGCCCCTATATACCGGCACACACACAAATATGTGAACAGATAATTTAAAAAGAAACTGTAGAAGAGGGCACAGGCGTGCAGGTAACATGAGATAGTGAATTTCACTAGCCTTCTTGGACATAGGTTGTGGGCATGCAGGATACATCTCTGCAGCTACTGAGAGGCTAAAGGTGAGGCGGAGAACATTGATGTTAGTGAGCAGGAGGGACGACTGGAGCTTGAGTGCTTAATAATTGGGAACACAAGATGTTTTCTCTTTGCTGGAAAACAATTTGGCAGCTGCTATGAGGTCAAATGTACTATAGTTAATTGCTTAGAAGGTACACTAATATAACTCTGTCCCAAGAAATAGTGTCACAAAAATCTTTGTTCATAAAAGCCAGCACATCTAATGTCTATCTGTAGGTAAAAGCATAGTGGGGTCATGCAGTGGCCTACCAAGCAATACAGGAATGAATGTTGAGCATCCGGAGCCAGGGAAGCCAGGCACCGAAGAGAACAGTACCTCTGCTTCCATCAACACAGAAGCTGGGATTCTAGACCGTGCAGAGCCTATCGTTAGGACAGAAGCAGAGCGGCATGGGCCAGGGCTGACATGGAGTTGATTGATAGGGCTAGGTTTTTGGAGACAGTTCTAAATGCTGAGGTTCCAAGAGTGTGTCAGTATGCCTGATTGTTTTTGAGTTTTGAGGCAGGGTCTTGCTATGTAACTCAGTCAGCTATGAACTCCTGGTAATCCTGTTTCGGCCTCTTCCGTGAGTTACCCCTCCTGAATTAAAAAGACTTTTTTTTTTTTTTTTTGTTTTTGTTTTTTGTTTTTTGAGACAGGCTCTCATTGTAGTCTTGGTTGGCCTGGAACTTACAGAGAGTTCTGCCTGCCTCTTCCTTGTTAGCGGGTTAAACGCATGAGGCACTACAAATGTTCTTAATTCTGATTTTTGCAGTGGTTCAACAGGTCCTTATGTTGCTCAGGAACTAATTGAAGTCTTAAAATGGTTGTATTTCATCAAGTACTTCAGATTATATTCCAGGAAAGGAAAGTGAAAGTAGGTAACTAACTATAATTTAGTTTACCTGTTAGTTTGTTTAAACTTCAGGGTTTGTTTATTTGTTTTTGTTTTTTCAAGACAGGGTTTCTCTGTGTAGCCCTGGCTGTCCTAGATTTACTTTGTAGACAAAGCTGGCCTCGAACTCACACTCGCCTCTTAATCCTTAGGGTTACTCATTCACCAGTATTCAAGAAATATGGACCGAGAAGATGTTCAGTGGGTGAAAGCTCTGGCTGCACAAGTCCTATGACCCCCAAAACCATGTGCAGTACTGCACCCCTGTAACCACAGCCCTCCTGTGGTGAGAGTACAGTGCAGCAGAGACAGAAACCCTGCCCCTCCCAATAAAGTGGGAGAGAAGCCGCTCCCAAGATTAGTTCTCTGACCTCCACACGTGTACAGTGGCATGCACGCACACACCAACATTCTTCTCTAGCACAGCACAGAGAGTCCTTAAGAGAATGTGCCCTCAGGTAAATGACAAAGCTGTGAGTTTCTCATAGGGTTATTGTGAGACTGGAACATGACAGTTTGAAGACATGTGTGTGCACACAGGAAGTACCAAATGCAAAGGCTACTTTGTCTTTTCTTTCTCATCTCCCAAAAGGGCGCCAGTTAAAAGCAAGACTTAAAGAGTGTTCTAGATTTTCACAGATACTCTTCCACCATATTTAGATTAGTTTGTGACATTATTTCCTTCTATCCTGATAAAAGCTGAGTGGAGTAGAGAGGCAGGTATTTATAGATGAGAAAATAGGGTTTTCTTTCCTGTTTCTGGGAGTCTTTGGGCATTTGTGGGCCGAGAAAGGTACTTTAGAATGGTGAGACAGACATCTACTGGCTCGCACTGCTACAGAGATGCTAAGCTCAGGGACTTGACACTACTGTCCGGAAGAATTAGAACGATTGGTTTCCTTACCTGCCATTTGGGGAAAGAGCAAGTGAAAAAGTACACCCAAATACACTTTACCAGGTCTGTTGGTATAAACATATAACAAAACATATAACAAAAACATATAACAAAACATTCCCAAAACTGTGGTCACCTAGGAAATTGGCATTAAAGATAGTTTAGACTGGTCTAGAGTACAGGCCTGTAATCCTGTCTGGTTAGGAAGGCCAAGGCAGGAGGATTTTGAAAGTTCAAGGCCTGCCTGGGCTATCAGGCAATTTAGTGAGACCCTGTTTCAGGTCTCAGTCATAGAGTGTTTACCTAACATGCCAGAGGCGCTGGGTTTAGTCTCCATTAGTCTCCATACTGCTAAAAACAAAACAAAACAACCAGAGGCTTAATGATGCAGGTAGATTCTCTGATAAACTGCTGATTGTACAGTCCGGATAGTCTCCTGATTGGTATCTGGGGTGAGATAGCTCTATTTAGTAACTGTAATATTAGGTGGAGGAAACCAGATACGGGAAAATAGCCAGCACCGCATAGCCAGGGCAGCAGTGAAGAGCCTAGCAGCTGCTGGGGCTGCTGGTGGCTCAGTGCATCCAGCCTGCCTGTGTAGCTGAAAGTCTTGTTTTCTTCATTGCAGTGAAAACAAAAAAGAGGCCTGGCATATTCCTGTAATTGCAGATATTTGGGAAGCCAAAGTGGGAAGATTGCTTGAGCCTAAAAGTTTGAGGCCAGCTTGGGCAAAATAATGAGATTCGAGATTAAAACAGAGGGGAGGGAGAGAGGGACCAGGGTCCCAATTTCCCCTTCAAGAGCTTTTTCCCAATGACTGAAATCCCCTTCGCCCCTCCCCTTCCCCCAATCCTGGTTTGCAGTCTCCTAGTAGTATACCACTGCTTTTTAACACCAGGGCCTCTGGGGCTTCTATAGCCTGCCTGTTGTGAGGTTGTCCTTCAGGACATTAAATGCTACTGCTCTCTTCTAACACCACAGCTTCTCTTTGATTACCAAAGAGGGAACAAACATGAGTGAGTTCTGGCTCATATCCGCTCCTGGGGAGAAAACCTGTCAGCAAACATGGGAGAAACTCCATGCAGCAACCTCCAAGAACAATAACCTTGCAGTCTCTTCCAAGTTCAACATCCCTGACTTGAAGGTGAGGCCGCACTGTGCGGAAGGCTGAGATGTCGGGCATCTGTCTCTGTTTTGGCAGAAGTGAGTTTCGAGGTTCTTTGAGAAAAGGCACTCCTTTCTAGCTGTTGACATCGTTTAGCGTAGATCTTAGTCTTTGAATGTCATAAGGAAACCACTGTGTCACATCTTGTTCTTGTTAGTCTTCTGTTTTTCTAAATTATAAGGAAGCCTAGGTATTGCATCACAAGTAGGATTTTTCAGAAGAGAAAAATCTTAGTGTATACTTTAAAATATCACAGTAATACTTCTGTAATTAAGTTTATATTCTATTAACACAGTATCTGTCTAGGCATTATTTAGTCCAGCTAATATATTTAACACCTTCTAAAGGCTGGTAATCTAGCAGTTATAATACAAAACAGGCTGCCAGGATCATAATGAATGTTTGAAGACAGCACTTTACTTCTAAAACATGATCTTTGCTACACAGTTACGCGTACAGATTCAACAACAGGCCCTGTGATGGACATCTACAGACCCATTGTAGGGCCTTTGTTGTAAAGCAGGACTAAGTTATCCATTGTCCCTGGGCTTATTTAAAGCAAGCACAGGCCTGCGCACTAAGTGCCAAGTTTTCATGTCCTAGGTAGTGCTTTTTGACTTAGAGAATTAACTCATACATACAAATGTACTTAAATGTTCCATAAACTTCTTTTTTGCAATATTTTAGGAAATAAGTGGAGAATATGAGATTTGTGAGGAGCTGGGAGGGGTTGTGCAAGCCTGTAGTTCCAGCACTTAGTCAGCAGAGGCAGGAGGACCAGGAGTTCAAGGCCAGCCTTGGCCACATGTTAAGTTTGAGACTGGCCCAGGCTAGGTGGAACTCTCTCAAAAACAACAAAACAAAGCAAAACAAAAACAGCCTGTCCCTTCATAAAAGGAATTTTAAAAAGGGATGGGAACTAGGGAGTCAGATATGGTGAGCTTGTAAATCCAGTGCTGCAGAGTCCAAGGTTCATCTGGGTCACAGTAAGACTTGTGTCACAACAAAACATGATCCCTTTTCAGTGAAAAAATGAAAGCGGTAAAAGCTGAATACTAAGCTGAATTTCCCTTCTAGGTTGGCACATTGGATGTCTTGGTTGGCTTGTCCGATGAACTGGCTAAACTGGATGCGTTTGTGGAAGGGTAATGTACCTGCATGTGTGCGCCTGCACAAAGTGAGACGCCGTTGTCAGTGTCAGGTTGCCTGGAGAGTGTCTTTACAGATACTGTGCTGTTCCGTGTACACTCTACGCTATTTGGATGATTTTAGGCAATGACTGTTTTTCTTTGTATATCAATGTCTTGTGTATATTTGTATGTGTGCACATGTGCATCTCTGTGTACATGGGTGTGAGAGCATTTTCATGTAGGGGCACATGCGTGTGCAGGTACACATGGCTGTCAGGAGCCATCTGCCTTAGGGTTTTTGTTTTTGTTTTTCTTGATACAGGGTCTCTCGTTGGAACCTGTAGGGCCTGCAGATTCAGTTGGACCACTGAGCATCAAGTCTTAGGGATCCTCCTGTCTTCTTCCCTAATACTGGGATTGCAAGCATGTACCACCATGCCCAGCTCAGTTCTTCTTATTAGCAAATAATACTCTCTTACATCACTGTTATCAGATACTCTTTATGTATCATGTTTTATTAATCTATCATCCGGAGAATACTTACTTTACTCCCTTTTTCAGTTTATGTATTTTTGTGTGCTGTGTTTCTGTTTCTCTTAAATGTATGTACCTGGGAATGGAATCATTGGGTTCTTTTGGTTCTTCTCTGAAGAATTGTTTTCAAAGTGGTGGAACCAGTTCATATTTGCGTTGTCAGCTTTTATTTGGTTTGATTTTTGGTTTTTTTGAGACTGAGTTTCTTGGTTTGGCCTTGGCTGACCTGGACTTGCTTTGCAGACCAGGCTGGCCTTTGAACTCATAGAGTTCAAACTCTGCCTCCCCAAGTGCTGAGATTACAGGCATATGCTACCACACTTGTTTTTATTTTTTGAGACAGGTTTTCTTTTCTTTTCCTTTTCCTTTTTTTTACAGTTGTGTCTACAAATGTTTGTGCAAATTCACTTTTTAAAAAAATTAATTTTATTATTTTTTTACAATTTATTTATTTTGTATCCCGATTGTAGCCCCTTCTTCATTTCCTCCCAGTCCCAACCTCTCTTCGTCTTCTTTCCATCCTTCTCCCCAATCCACTGATAGAGGAGGTCCTCCTCCCCTACTCTCTGACCCTAGCCTATCAAGTCTCATCAGGACTGTCTGGATCCTCTTCCTTTGTGGCCTGGTAAGGCCACCCAGGGGGAAGTGATCAAAGGAACAGGACAGGAAGGCTACCACAGACATCCTCTGAAAGGCTCCACCCAGCAGGGGATTGAAGCAGATGCAGAGACCCACAGCCAAACGTTGGGCAGAGTGCAGAGAGTCTTATGGAAGAAGGAAAGGATAGAAGGACATGGAGGGGACATGAGCTCCATAAGGAGACCAACAGTGCCAAAAACTCTGGGCCCAGGGGATCCTGCACCAACCAAGGGTTATGCATGGAGACAGGTTTTCACACTGCAGCACAGGCTGTGCTGGTACATGCCATGTAGCCCTGACTGGCCCATAGCTTAGAGCAATTCTGCTTCAGTCTCCCCAGTGCTGGGATTACAGGGCTGCTCGTGTTGAAGCAGTTTAATTTTGCTGCATTTGTGCTAGGACCTACCATTAACTGGTAGTTTATTGTAACATTCCTGGTGGGTACAAAGCATTATCTATCTCATTCTGGTTTTTGTTTTGTTTCTGTTGTTTTTTCTTTTGTTGTTGTTTGTTTGTTTGTTTTTGAGACAGGGTCTCACTTTGTAGCCCTGGATGGCCTAGAACTTGCTCTGTAGATCAGTTTGGCCTCAAATTCATAGAGATCTGCCTGCTTTTGCCTCCCAGGTGCTGAGACTAAAGGCCCACCATGGCTAGCCACATTCTGATTTTCATTCACATTACTCTAATGGTGTATTCTGTTTATTTATTTGTAAAGATTATTTTTGTCTATGTATATATCTATTATCAGTGTATATATGTGCAGTGTGAGTACAGGTGCTTGTGGAGGCCAGAAAAGGGCTTTAGATCCCCTGGAAGTGGAGTTACAGTTGGTTCTGAACCACCAGAGTTGGCTGTTGGAAAGTGAACTTGGGTTCTCTGAAAGTATGTTTTTTCATAACTTCTAAACTATCTATCTCTGGAGCCCACCCCTCGTCCCCTTTTGAGACAATTCAGCATGATCCTACTGCCTTGTTGCTGGGATTACAGTTGAACACCACCATACCCAGTTTGAGAAATTATTTTAACATAAGCACATGAGGTAAGGAAGTCAATAGTCCCAATATTGTGTTGGTTTTCTGTAGTACTGAAGGCAAGAAAAGGCCTCTTGTAGCCAACAGTTGCACATAGTGAAGAGGTGAATGACTGGAGGTAATGGTTGACATAGCGAAGAGGTGAATGACTGGAGACAGTGCTATATACCTGTTTTCCCAGTTTCTGAGGGCCTGAAGCATGAGGATTACCTGTTCACGCCAGCCTGGGCTAGATCACAGACCCTGTTGGGAAAAGCCTCAAATGAGGCTGAATGAAAAAGCAAGGAGGACCGAAGGTAGCAAGTTACTTTTAGGAATGTAATTTTATATGCAGCAGAGGATGATCTTGAAGTTCTAGTCCTCTTGCCTCACCTGGGGTTGTAGGCATGTGACACCATGACCAGTTTTCATGACTTCCTTTATAGACTGAAAAACATGCTGCATGCAGTGTCTATAAAACCCTACAGTTAACCATTTGGTTTTTCTTTAAGTGTTTAATGTAAGGATTCATTATATAGAATGCCCTTGTGTCACAGTCTATATAGCATAGAATTTTTTTCTAAAAGTGATTTTTTTTTTTTTTTTTTTTAATCTTCCCAGCGTGGTCAAGAAAGTGGCTCAGTACATGGCTGATGTGCTGGAGGACAGCAAAGATAAAGTTCAGGAGAACTTGCTGGCCAGTGGAGGTGAGCTGATTGTTTATGATTCCTAATTATTAGTGTATAACTGAGTGCTTAGAAACATCAGAAATCCCGATGAGCATGCTGCTTTAACAGCATGCTCTGGGAACACCACTGATGATGTCACCAGCTGCGCCTGCCCCTGGAACAGTTCCAAGCTACTCTTAGGCGGTACGTGTGCAGTGTAAGGTGTTTGCTTTGCTCATTTGGGAGTTGCTTGCTGACTTACAGCAGAACAGCTCAACTTTATTGCAGTTACATGTCTCCTGTTTTCCACTTAATAGTACCCAGGAAGTGATTGATTTTATTACAGGGTAATGCCTCTTTGCCATCAAATTATAATATGGCTTTCTTAGTAACCGGAAAATAGACCACTAATGTAAGTGTCTGTAGCTATAAGTTAATATTTATATTCAGCCTGCTTTGTATAATGGTAGCTTTATAAGAATACTTTTACCTCATTATTGTTGATTTTAATATATTTACTTTTGAGACAGGGTCTGGAACACACTAAGTGTGTTTTTAAACTCAGAGAGGCTCTCCTGCCTCCAACCTGGAATTAAGTGTGCACCACCATACCCAAGAATTAAAAAGAATTCTGGTTTTCTGTTGCTGGGCAGGTGGCTCAGCAACTCTACACTGCTCTTGGAGAGGACCTGAGTTCAGTTCAGCTTCAGGGAATATTTTTTGGCCTCTGTAGGCACTTATACTCTTATTTACATACCTGCCCACCTCATATACATGATGAAAAAGTAAAATAAGTCTGAAATTCAGTGTACTTCTAGTCTCATTCACAGTAACTTAATCAGGACCCTCAGAAATCATATCTTTGCCTATAAGAAACAAGCAAACAGCCAGGTGTAGTATCACGTTCCCAGTATTCAGGGGGTAGAGGCCAATGGATCTCTTAAGTTCAAGGCCAGTCTTGTCTACAAAGCAAGTTCTAGGATAGACAGGGGCTACACAGAGAAACCCTGTGTTGAAAAACCAAACCAAACCAACAAAAACCCTACTACTTCTCTTTAGTAATTAATGTATTGCTTTATTTCAGTTGACTTGGTTACTTACATAACAAGGTTCCAGTGGGATATGGCCAAATATCCAATCAAGCAATCTCTGAAAAATATTTCTGAAATAATTGCCAAGGTAAGACAAAAACTGAGGCAAGTTGGACACACTGATTCATAGATTTGTTTAAATTATGTATGTCATATCTATATCTATCTATCTATCTACCTACCTACCTACCTACCTACCTATCTGAGCACCCTAGTAGCCCTGGTTGTCCTGGAATTTACTATGTAGACCAGGCTGTCCTTGAACCCCCAGAGATCCCCCTATCTCTGTGGCCTGAATGCTGGGATTAAGAGTGTGCACCACCACATCTGGCCTTGAAGCCTTTTGATTAATAATCTTCAACCTCTTTTTACTTGGGTTTAAAAAGTAATGTGGCAGTAGCAGTTAACTATATGGACTAAAAGAGTCATAAGGAAATTTGTTAATAAAGGTTTTGTTATGTGTGTTTTTGAGACAGAGTTTCTTTGTATAGCTCTGGCTGTCATGGAACTAGCTCTGTAGACCAGATTGGCCTGGAACTCACTGAGATCCACCTGCCTCTGCTTCCCAAGTGGGATGTAAGGTGTGTGCCACTGCGGGCAAAGTTGTTATTTTTTAAATGCCCTTTTAAAGTTATACTTTTAATGAAAGTATACAGAGACAGAGTTTCTCTGTATAGCCTTGGCTATCCTGGGCTTTGTAGAACAGGCTGGCCTCAACCTCAGAGAGACCTGCCTGCCTCAGCCTTCCTGAATGCTAGGATTGCAGGCATGTGCCACCAAGCCCAGCAGAATTCACATGTTTTTATACCAGAGAGTATTTCGATTGTACTAGCAGAGGCAGACGTGGGAAAACTTCCTGTTTCTTCTCTCCTAAAGGGAGTCACTCAGATCGATAATGACCTGAAGTCTCGAGCGTCTGCGTACAATAACCTGAAAGGGAATCTTCAGAATCTGGAGCGAAAGAATGCGTAAGCTCTCAAGTCTTGGTGTGTGGGAGTGCTCTAGCAGCGTGTGTGGGACCCTGTTGTGTGTGGTTTCTGTAATCAGAATGCTTGGTGGGGCTGGATAGATGGCTCAGCAGTTAAGAGTGCTGGCTGCTCTTCCAGAGGATCCGAGTGGTTCCCAGCACCCACGGGGCAACTCACAACTTCATTCCCAGGGTATCTGATACCCTTTTCTAACCTCTGCAGACTCCTGCTAACACACACATGCATACACATAAAAATGCTTTCTAATGGCTTTTTTTAAAGCTTCGTGGAGAAAGTTCATTTTACAGAATTTGAGCAATTCCAGAACAAATCAATGAAGATGATTTATTAAACTTTTTCATAAATTTACTTGTCACCTGAACTCTGGTTTATTTCCTTATCCATTTGACATTTTACTGAAATTTGTAAAATTAATTATTTTAAATCAATTCAGTTATTACATAGCAATCACCTTCCATGCTTAAAAGATTTTTATATAATCTGTTTATGCTGTACTGATTATTTTCTACTTTCTCTGTTTGCCAGGGTTAGGTTTTTTAAAGCATTGACTTGGAACCTTATTTGGTTGATCTTCTTGTAGTGTTACTGAAAATGTAGTTCTTCTGGGCTGTTTTGTTGTTGGGGGGAGGGTGTATTTGAGAAAATGGTAAAGGTGCCTGTATGTGTCCTTGTGGAGGACAGGAAATCATCGAGTATTCTCAGTTTGCAAGTCTCAGGGGTCATCTTGTCTCCATTAGTCTCTTGGGTTATATATACACATTGCTTGTTACATGGATGCTGGTGTTGGAACCCAGGTCCACATGGTTGTGTGTCCAGATCTCTTAACCACTGAGCTATTCAAAGTTGTATCATCATCCAGGGAAAAAGCTGATGGAGATGGTCTTTGGTACAAACAAGATAAGGCGTTTTCATTACTGGAAGACCAAATGAAGACTGATTTGACAGTTGATTTTTGTGTTAATTAGCCAAGATTGTCTGGAAAGAGAGAAACAACAGAGGTTGTGCTTAGATGACATAATCTCATAATTACAATGCAATAGACTCTATCTGATGAGTCGTGCTTTCCCAGCCAAGGTATGTAATTAAGAGAAGAGCTTAGTTACAATAATTAAATAACCACAACGTTCAATATTACAGACAAATTTTGACAGACCTTGACACTTCTTGGGTTTTAGGGGTGGGATACATCTGAGCCAACTGTTGTCTTCTTAAATACATTTTTTTTTTTTTTTAAGCCAGATGTGGTGGCACTCTGGGAGACAGAGGCAGGCATATTGCTGTGAGTTTGAGGCCAGCCTGGTCTACAAAGCAAGTCCAGGACAGCCAGGGCTACACAGAGAAACCCTGTGTCAAAACAACAACAGCAACAACAAAATACATTTTTAAAAATTAAAAAAAAAAAAAAAAACATTTCCCACGTATGAGTGTTTTGCCTGTATGTTCGAATGGAGGTCAAGTGCACGCCTGGTGCCTTTGGATGTCAAAAGAGGATGTCAGATCCCTTGTTGCTGAGCTGACGTGTGGATGGGAATTGAACCTGGGTCCTCTCTTCAGCCGCCAACTGTTAACTCCTTACGGAGCAAAAATGTTACCTAAGACTGATCCTTCCGAGGTGCATTATAGCATGTGATTAGCCTGCCCTTTCACATATCCACCAGTGATTCTCTTCTTGTCCTTCAGGGGAAGTTTGCTAACTCGGAGCTTGGCGGAAATCGTGAAGAAAGATGACTTTGTTCTTGATTCGGAGTATCTCGTCACGTTACTGGTGGTAGTTCCCAAGTACGTCTGTTAAAAAAGATTTCATAGTGGCACATACCTTTAATCCCAGCATTCTGGGAGGCAGAAGTAGGCAGATCTCTGCTAATTTGATGCCAGCCTGGTCTGAGTTCCAGGACAGCCAGATAGTAGGACCCTGTCTCAAAGTAACAATGGCAACAAAAGTCTGTGTGAGAGACACTCTTAGTGGCCTCAGGCCTTACACAGAAATCTTGCTGTTCACATCTCTGGGGGAATCCAAGCCGAGCTAGGAGGTGCTGCTTTTTCAGAGCATTACTGCATGAAGCCTGCCTTCTCTGTTGTGTATGTTTATCTGGCAAGGGGACTGGAGGAGGCGGGAGAGGAATACGAGAGGAACTCCGTGTCCCTGATAGCACCCGCCTGGAGCATCTCTCCTGATTGGGGTAGGCTTTTGGATTTTTCTGTGCCTGTGAAGAATGACTTGGCTCGGAAAAGGTTTTGTTTTCTCAGGGCTGTCCTTGAGCTCACAGTCTGGTCTGGCTGACCCGGAGCCTGTGCTGCTCTGCCTTCACTTTCCAAGCACTGGGGTGCAGGCTAAGCCTGGTGTGAGAAGAAAGCTGGGCTTCCTGCTTTCCTTGCACCGCTGTTCCCCGGAACCTTGGAGCACATTATTTATTCAAAATTTCTATTTATCTTTGCTTTTATGTCTTATAGGAAAATATCCTTTGCCCACATTTTTCTTACTTAGCTTTATTTAAAATGTATGTTTAGAAAATTTCAGATTTTTGTGTCTTAACACAAACATAAGACTACTGTAGGTCACTTTACACAATGAATTACCTGTGCCTATGAACCCTTACTGTAAATCAGACATCATCTCTTTACACCCCCAAAGCCAGCGGCCTTTTCAGAAAGCTGTTGCACAGTGTTCTGAGGAAGTATCATTTACTGTCATTGCCTCTTCGCTGCTTCCTGGAGTACACCCTGCTTCCTGGAAATAGAATTTTATTCGGCCCTTTAATGGCCACCAAATGGTAGTGATTTCTCAGGGCCTCGTCTGTTTTTTAAGTGAGGTATGCTGTTTTTTAGCCATGCAGTTTAAAAATAACATAGAATCTGAACTGTGCTTTGCTGCCTTATCAAACCAGCTATGCCTCTGTCATAACTGTCAGTGGTAAGGGAGGTGACTGGACTTCCTGCTTTAACTCAGTGTATTTGAGGCAGCTTCTCAGTAGGAGACTGGATATTTTGCTGCATATATATGATGTGTCTTATTAGACCCACATTTCCTATCTGTATTTCCTGGACATGGCAGAAGTAGGGCTTGTCTTCCCTTCCCAATGTCTGTTGTGCCTTTTCTGCAGGTTGAACCACAATGACTGGATTAAGCAGTATGAAACGCTGGCAGAAATGGTAGTTCCAAGGTCAAGCAAGTAAGTAGCAATCTTGCAACAGGGCTTTGTTTTCTGAAAGTCTCCTTACAGCTTGTGGGATTAGGAAATGTCTTCATGGTCTGTAGTTCCCTCGCAGTAAATCTGTAATTCTAGAACCCTCATTTTTACTTCATAAATGGTCAACTCTGGTTATCATTTCAGATCTTGAGGGGTCTTGGCATATTGGGTTTGTCTCCTCTTTTTTAATTTTATTTTATTAATTACGCTTTATTCACTTTGTATCCCCCCATAAGCCCCTCCCTCCTCCCTTCCCGATCCCAAGTCCACTGATAGGGGAGGTCCTCCTCTCCTTCCTTCTGATCTTAGTCTATCAGATCACATCAGGAGTGGCTGCATTGTCATCTTCTATGGCCTGGTAAGGCTGCTCCCCACTCAGGGGGAGGTGATCAAAGAACAGGCCAATCAGATTGTGTCAGAGACAGTCCCTCTTCCCATTACTATGTAACCCACTTAGACACTAAACTGCCATGGACTACATCTGTGCAGAGGTTCTAGGTTATCTCCATGCCTGGTCCTTGGTTGGAGTATGAGTCTCTGGGAAGACCCCTGTGTTCAAATTTTCTGGTTCTGTTGCTCTCCTTGTGGGGTTCCTGTCCTCTCCAGATCATTTTTGTGGTTGGAGAGGTTTGAGGACAGTGAGATGAAATTTGCCCAGAGCCACACACGATAATGGCAGAACTAGCACCAGAGCCAGCCATGGGACTTTTATGCTATACCTTGCTGCCTTCTGAAGCCTTTGTTCACTGTCACTGTATCCCCTCTAGGAACTAACTTCATTTACCTCAAAAAGGAGTCACATTAAAAAAAAAAAAAAAAAAAAAAAAAGAATCACATCAGGCAGCTAGCTTCTGGAGTGCTGTGTTGACCTTCAGATTTCATTGTCATTTGGAGCAGAAATTTCATGAGGCCAGATCTGTACATTCTTTAAAAAAAAACAACAGAATGCTTGCCTTTTAAGTAAGCATTTTTGCTTTATGAGTATAGTATATATTCTCTCTTTGTTACTTACAGCAGCACTGTGAGGCAGTTTAAGCAGCTAGTTTCCTCCTAGGATAGGAAGCCATGTTTAAGTGGTCTAAGGCACATGACCTTCAGTGTCCAGTGGCAAGGCAGGGCTGATGATGGTCTTGTAGCTTGTAACCCATATCGCCATTTGGTGGCCTGCTATTGCTGCACAAGATGCCCTTGTTAAAGAAGGTATGGAAGATAGTGAGGAACTGAATCTAGTGAGGTCAGGCCAGAAATACTTTCTTTTCCAGCTCATTGCATCATGCAGGGGTTAGCTTACCATAATGGAAAGTCATGAACCCTGTTGATGGTTCCTCTTCCAACTTTCTGTGTGGCTTGGGTACGTCTTTGAACTTCACTGCATCTCATTTTCTTTCCTCAAATGACAGTTTAAGACTTGATAGAACTGCTTCAACTCAGTTGTTCTGGCTTCAATCTGGCTTTTCTCTCGGCTTCTAAGTTACTCTGCTTCTGTCTCCTGGATTAAAGGCACGTTTGTATTCCAGCTGGATCACACAGACATAGAAGGTCTTTGGCTATGATCTCTTGCCAGAGCAGCCATGTTCTAAATTAACATTCCTCTCCAATCCCCCCTCCATTTGAGATAATAACCTTTATGAAAACCAACTCTTCACATGGCAAACTGAAGACAGTGGTTGTGTCTTGACATGCGTTCTCATTTGGGCTGTCGATCCTGGCCAGTAGTAACTTCTCTCTAGGGCATGTGAGCTCAGAGATCACACAGTATTCAGGCCGTGAGGATCAGGACACAGTGTCCCTCTGGTGGTAGACATGCAGAAGTCAGGCTTCAGGGTTGGGTTGGGGTGCTGTGTAAGTCAGGTAATAAGCCCTAATTTTGGAAGGGCTTTATACCATCTCAGAGAGTTGGAGCTTCTGTTAATCGATTTTATAATTTAAAAGAAGAATAGTAAAATGCAGGCAATACTTGTCCTAATGGCTTTCTGGGTCCCCAGCCCCACCTCACAGTGGAAAGTGCATTTGGCATCACTGACTAAGAAACAAGACTGTTTCAGTGTCCATGGAGAACATAGACCTAGCTCAGGTAGCACCAAGAGAAGCCTATAGTTCATATGAGCTATGCCTTCGGGGCACTGCTCTGTCACTCACTGTTCACGAAAGAGCTGTGTGGCTGGGTGAAGATTTTTGTTTGGCTTATAGCTGACATTTTCTGTGTGTGTGTGTGTGTGTGTGTGTGTGTGTGTGTGTGTGTGTGTGTGGTTTTGAGGGTCAAACTCAAAACCTGGCACATGCTAGGCAATTTCTGAGCTCCATCCCAGTTTGGTAACTAACATTTTAATTACCTTGAGGCAGTAACTGTTTCATGTTCTTTACTCAATTAAGCCAATTAAATATAGATAATAATGGGGCTAGAAGGATGGCTCAGCAGTTAAGAGCATTGGATGCTCTTACAGAGGATCGAGGTTTGCTCCCGAGCCCTTCATGGTGGCTCACCGTCATCTGTAACTCCAATTACTGGGGCTCTGACTCTCTTTTTTTACCTCCAGTGGCACCAGACACACACATGCTGTATACACATACATGCAGGCAAACACCAGGACTCAAAAAATAAATACTAAAAAATATGGATAGTATCATTTGATCATCTGTCCTTTCTTCCTTCCTTTTTATTTTATTGAGACAAATCTCATGTCGCCCGGCTGGCCCTGAACTCTTAACTTGCCTGCCTGTACTTCCTGAGAGCTGGAATTATAGGCCTATTCCACCAAGGTTGACATATTTTGTTGACGTTTTAAATGTCTTTTGCTTTGCCTTTGTTCAAGGTTTTACTAAATTTCATTGTTGTTTTTAATTTCTAAAAGCTTAAAGAGATTAACAGGAAACAACTCACGTGTCCTGTTTACAGCATCTGTAGTTGTTAGGCCAGGTTCATGGGACCATCAGAAACCACCAGGAGACGACTCGATGCAATTGCAAGAGAGCTTTATTACGAGAGCGATCGAACTCGGGACCCAAGTCTCACTGGCGCAGCAGTAGAGAAGTGGGACTTCGAGCTCTGAGTGAACAGGATTTTTAAAGGGAAAGTCTGTGAGCTGGGGGTTTCCATGGCAGCAAGCAGGGGGGCACAAGCCTTGGCGTTACAGAATTGGGTGAAGTTTAGCAGGGCGGGGTGACCTTTTCTGAGGCACATAATCACAATGGCTAAGGCATATAATCACAATGGCTTTTTTTCTAAACCATATCTGAAACATTGGGGAGAATTTTCCCACCCGATTCTCAACCGATTCCCATTGATTATTGCCAGGGAGTTTGTCTCTATTTTCTATGAAGCATTTATTCTGTTATATTTCCTGGAGGCTGTTGCTAGGAGAGTTAACTTTGTTTTCTGCCAGGTGTACATTCTGTGATATTTCCTGGTACCTGAATTCAGTTCCCAGTCAAGATCTTTATTTCAAAATGGAGTTATATTCAGGCTATCTTAAGCTCTTCATAGTGACCCAGTTGTGGCAACTGAACTGAGCTCTGTTGGAGGGCATCAGTGGGAGCTGGTGCGGTTTAGACAGAGGCTGGAGCATCTCTGCTCCACTTCCTTCTGTGGGCAGTGTTGCTCACACTTGGAGCCTCTGGCACATTGTAGGCAGGCCACACTTTGGGCCAGTTGACCCTTTAAAAACAAAAAAAGTTTGCTATATCAATGATGAGTCGTGGGAGTAATAAGTGAAAGATGGATTTTGAAATAGAAGAAACAACTTTTAAAATACCATCCTCAGAAAGTATCACAATGAGCTGGGCACAGTGGTGCATGCCTTTAATCACAGCACTTAGGGAGGTGGAGGCAGGCCAATCGCTGTAGCTCGAGGGCAGCCTGGTCTACGAAAGTGAGTCTAAGACAGCCAAGGCTACACAGAGAAACCCTGTCTTGAAAAACCAAAAACCAAAACAAAACAAAAATAACAAAAAAGAAAGTGCCATAATGAAACATACTACTGTGTGCTGATTTTTAAAATAAAAATGCCACCCTCAAACCTGAATTTGGGAATGTTTTTTGTTTGTTTGTTTGTTTGTTTGTTTTGAGACAGGGTCCCACTGTATAGTTTGGGATGGCCTTTACCGCTAAATCATCCTGCTGCTGCCTCCTGAATGACGGGGTTATAGGTGTGCCACCACTCCCAGCTTCCTTTTATGCAAAAGGGCTTTTAATTTGATGTGTGTACAGGCACACAAGGGGCATGTGTGTGCAGGCCAGAGGACAGCTTGGGTGGTGGAAGGTTAGCTTCCACCTTCCTCCATGTCAATTCCAGGCTGTCAGGCTTGGCAGGAGGTGCTTTGACCTGCTTCCTCATACTGCTTGTCTCACCTTCCTGTTCAGTACGCAGGGCCTCGCTCCTTGCAAGATACTCTATATTAAAGTTTTTAAACATCAGGTAATTTGAAGTCCAGCTGAATACTAGGATGAATATAGATGTATATAAAGCTAGGGTTAGGAAAGAGGTTTGTGCTGTTTCCAATCTTTTTATTGGTGCATGCTCAGGAGACTTGGTACTTTTCTCCTTGCATTTTCACCACTTTTCCTTTTCTTTCTTCAGTGTTTGTTTTTGTTTGAGATAAGGTCTCACTATGTCACTTCAGCTGGTCTGGAGCTCCCTATAAAAATTAGGCTCTCCTTAAACTCAAAGGCTTGCCTGCCTCTGCCTCCTGAGTGTGGGGATTAAAGATGTGCCACCATGCACCACTCCTCTTGCTTCTTAAAATGCCTAAGTGGAAGCCTGGGGTTTAGCCCAGTGGTGAAGCTCTTGCCTAACATGTGTGAGGCTCTGGGCTCAGTTACCTGCACCAGACATTTATAAAAGTCAGATTGGGCCAGCTCACTGGGTAATCTTGAACGGTCTTCATCTTTGGGAGTCACTAGAGTTTCAGGGGGTTTGTTTAGGGTGCTGGAAGTGCTGGGGCGGACATAACACACTGTGCTGCGCACTGTGCAGACTTCTCTTCTGGATTAGGGTTGCAAGGGTATGCTATGTAAAGCATGGGGAGGAACCGGATAGATTGGCAGGGGAGCAGAGAATGTGGCTGTCCCAAGCCTTGGAGAGGTGAGGAATCAGCAACAGCAGGAAGAGCCTGGAGGCCCTAGAAAGCTCTTCTTCCTACAGGGGTTACTGAAAATGTCCTGAGGCTACTAGCAGACATGAGCAATGAGCTGACTTCCAGTTCTTTCTAGGCCATATGACATCTGTATTGTAGAAGGGCTAACAGTTGCTTCATCTTTTTGTATCCAGTAGCTGTTATGCCCATTGGGTTAAACTAAGCCTCCCGGCAGCCATGCTTCTGGCTGTGTTCAAGTCTGGATTTACTCAGGAAGAGATCCTGCTTGGACTGTCAGAGTGGCTCTGCTGGTGAAGGTGCTTTTCACTAAGCCTGATGGCCTGAAAGTTTGATCCCAGGACCTACATGGTAGAAAGAGTTGTTCTTTGACCTCCAGGAAAACACCTTGTTCACATGTCTACACACGCACAATTTTAAAATGAGGAATGATTTTTTTCCTTTTTGTTTGAGACAGGGTCTCACTCAGTAGCAGGCCTGGAACTCAATGGAGACTCAATAGAGAGTGTTGGAATTAAAGGATGCCTTTTTTTTTTTTTTTTTTTTTTTTAACTGTTTGCTCTCCTATGGTTTTTGCTTTCTTTCTTTTCCATGGTTTCAGGCATCACTGAAGAAGATGGTTGGTTGCACTATATTTGAAATCTGATAGTTGCCTCACCTCTCTCAGAGGCTTATGGTTTGACACCTTTGCTTAGTTTCTTCAGTTTTTTTTTTTTTTTCTTGCCTCACACACAGGATCTAAAAAGGCTGTACCTCTGGAGTCTGTGGTCTCCAGAGGAAGCTGGCTTCATCCTTTGGCTATCTAATAACCTGCTTTTGGACTGCATTTTCATCTCCAGGCCAGCCCTTTGTTTGCACATGTTGATTTCTTCCGGTAGAGCTGCCTCTACTGCTGAGCCTGTACTGCAGTCCCAACTTCAGCCATTCTCTCTCCAGCTCTCAAACCATGGTCCAAATTAACCTCAGTGTGTTGGCTTCTGGGCCTGAATTGCTTGAGTGAGCTGCAGAGCCTGTGGTAGACTGCAGACATGCAGACTATGACAGGGGCAGTCTGTGGCAGTTGGAGTAAGAATGGCCCCAGCAGGCTCATGTATTTGAGTGTCACTGTTACAGAAGGATTAGGGGTTGTGGCCTCATTAGTAGGTGTGGCCTTGTTGGAGGAAATGTGTCCCTGGGGGTGACATGCCAGGGCTGGTCTTTCTTTGCTTACCTACTAATCCCTCTGGCCTTCCCACATAGTGTTCCTGGGACACAGCATGATTTGCCCAGTATCACCTCAGCTCTTTGTCCTTGAAGTATAAAGTAGCACAGTGTCTGCCGAGTGGTCCAGAGCGGAGCATGGTAGTCAGTCACCTGGGACCCCTTTCCTTCAATCTAATTTTCTGTTTTGTGTGTGTTCTGTTTTTGCTTGTTTGTTTTTGAACCATGTGCTATTTCTGGTTGTAAATAATAATAATAAAGGTGTCAGATGGAGTTTATATGGTTTATTCTGCTTTAACCCTCCACCTCTCACCTACTGCTGCCACCTCAGCTTAGAGCCCTGTTGTATCTGGTCTTGGCCCTGTTGGTTGGTATTGGTTGCTGTTGTTTGGTCTCCTTTAGCCTGCCCACATTCTGCTGCTGTTTTACCTTGACGTGCGGTATGTCAGTCTGTGACTCCTGCTTCAAGCCCTGCTTCTGTTCCTGATTTCAGTGGTGTCCTCTCATTACCCATTAACACCTCCACCCTCACCTCCACTGCTGCACTGCTGCCACACACACCTAGACCTCCTGTGATTTTTTTCATGTAGCCCAGTCTGCCTTGGACCTCATGATCCTCCCAAGGTGCTGAAATCATAGGTGTGTACCACCACCTGTGTTTTGGGTTACTTTTGAGAAAGGTTCTCTCTCTGTAGCCCAGGCTAGCTTAGAATTCACTGTATAGCTCAGGCTGGTCTTGAACTCCTGGTGATCTTCTTGTCTCAGTTTCCCAGGTGTTGGAACTATAGGTGTGATTCATCACATCCAGGTTTATTTGTTTTCAGCTAATTTTCTTAATTAAAAATAGATTATTTTATATTACGTGTGAGTGTTTTGCCTGAGCGTGTGTACCATGTGCATGCCTGGTGCCCAGGGAGGTCACAGCAGGCATCAGTTCCCCTGAAACTGTAGTTATGAATGTTTGTGCACACCTCTTGTATGCTGGGAACCTGCCTGGAATCCCCTGCCAGAGCAATCAGTGCTCTCAACTGCTGAGCCATCTCTCTAACTCCGTTAAAACCTTTTTGTGGATCACTGTCCATTTGAGTTTGAAAGGCACTGGGAACTCTTGTTGAATGAGGTGTGAACTAGGTGATCCTTTAATAGGGCAGAGTATAAAAGGAGGCCTATATGCAGATGAGTTCCTCTGCATCTCACTGATGACAGGGATGAGGCCCCAGGCTCTACCTGTTCTGTGCTTTGGAGGTGGCCTCTGGTGGCTGGCTAGCTGGCTGGTCAGGAGTCAGGGCAGAGTCAATTCTTAACGCTAGCCTGCAGGTGGGTTCTGTAGTTAGCGCATGAATTTATTTAGCTAATGGGTTCACTAGGCTTCTGGGAAAAATGAAACTTAAAATACTTTGTCCAGTTTTATTTCTTTAAAGGAAGTATTTAAATTCCTCAAGCACCCTGTCAGTTTCATTTGCTTCTTTTAGTTTTATAAATAAAAACTAGGGGGCTGGAGAGATGGCTCAGTGGTTCAGAGAGGGCATGAGTTCTGTTCCCAGCACTCACGTCGAAAGGCCCACAACTGCCAGTGACTCTAGTTTTGCAGCATCCAGTACCCTCTTCAGGCATGTGCAAGTGCTCCTGTGTGCAGCTCCCCACCCCCCAATTAGAGCAGTCTTAAAAAAAAAAAAAAAAAAAAAACTAAACAAGAAAAAACTCAAAAGCAAAGGACACAAAGCAGCTTCAGGAAGGTAGATGTTTGTTACCTCGGTGTGTAGGGTTTTGTGGTTGTGGACCTGTGTGAGCCAGCTGGGACACACGTGAAGATGGGGGAGATTGTGTGTGTGTATCACTTATCCTTCATAAGTGGTGAAACCACACATTACACATTAGAAGCTCCCCATTACATGAATGTAGAAGAGTCCCACTTCTCAGTAACCTTCCCCCACCTCCGGATCTTGGCTGTTGAAGATGCTTTGGTGAGCTTTGCAGACCTTGTACATGGGGTTCTCCTCATA